AGGGAATGGAAGCATAATTTCTGGATCTTACTTTTTAATATGCAGCAAGAATGATCTGTGATGGTTCTAGCAGGGATATTAAATCAAATGTTGTTACCTATAATCAACAATAATGAAAATAAGGAGTTTGAAAGCAATTTCCCAAAGCCCCATCTTGTAAGAACATTAGTATCATGGATATCTCTAAGTATATCCATGTTGTCTTCAATCCTTGCCTAATTACTTCAATTTCTGGGGTAGTGAGGATTGTTGTATGATCAATCCAAGGGATGCCAGCAAAAAAAGGCAGGTCTCTAAACATTCATGCTAACAACATTAGAACTGGTGACATGGTTATGACCTCCTGTGGATGGATCACAGAATGACCTATTTCTGACAGATGCTTCTGTTTCTCTAGCTCTTAAGCTTTTGTCCCTTCCCAGTCTGTCAGTCAGTACTGCTTGCTGAAGGATCAGATGGGGCTTTCACGAGGCAGATTGTGTCACCTTCAGGGTCCCCCTCAGAGGTGATTTGTTCTCTTCCCCGGCTATACATTTCTCGAAGGCCATTGACCATATTTGACCCAACACTGATGTTTTCCATGAAGGGCTCTGCAAGAAGAAAGAAAAGTGTTACACCCAGCTTCTATTTTGATTGTATCTTCTTTTCTTCTACATGTTTCTTCACATCTTTTAATACTGAACCATTTGAAGCATTCCATTGTCATAGGACCACGATTTACAATGTTTCTGCTGGAAACACCCCGTAACAAACAGTAGGTTCCTTTAATGACCACAGTGTTTGCTTAATAACTGTGGCACTTTCTGTATGCCACTGTAAAAAAGTTGTAAAATCAGATGTGTTCACACGGTGACCTGCTTAATGACCATCACTCTTATGTTTGTAATTGGCTCAATTAAGGCAAGTCAAGGAGTAACTATTTTTTTTTATCTAGAATCAAATCAGGCATGCTGGAGCAAAGAAACAGATGTCATCTTCTGAAACTGTGAATGTTAAAGCAGGGAGAGAATGGGAAAAGCTCTGAGAATGAGCTTTCTCCTGATCTCCATTCTGTGCATAAACTTCCAGAAGGTCAGCAATCCAAGAAGTTGGAAGACATGCAGTTCCTAATCCATGTTTACAAAGCCTTTTCCCCTAGAATTCCTTTGATCACATAGTAGAGTTCAGAAACAAAGCAAAATGGGGCAATTCTAAGATTTTGGACTTGTCGGGGAAGTAAAAGAAATGTCAGAAGATAATGGCCACTTGATTCTATATTGCTTCAAAGAAAACTTAAAGAATGTGCACAAATAATCAGCATAAGTCAAGTGCAACTTTCCTATATGTGTGTAAGTAGATAAGTAAGGATCCAATCAAATATTTTTACAGAGAAAGAAATATGTTATTGTGGTGGTTGAGAATAATCTGGACTACAATATGGACTTAAGGCTATATAGATTTTTATGCCAATAATTATTTGAAGCATGATAGAGACAATAGAAGCATAATAGAGAATGCTAGTGCGTGCTTTGCCAGATAGCAATTTGGATTTAAAACAATTTATCCAAATCAAGAGGAAATGAATCAATCGAAGTAACAAATTATTATTTGGAGTCAGCTATTAGAAACTATGCATGTATGCTTCCATTTTCCCCCCTCACACTCTCATATTAGAGACTTTGTGTGACTTCAGACTGCCTTTCTTTAAAGAACATGGGGCACGGTTTATACAGCTTCAGATGTTATATTAGCTAGTGACCAATAGGAGGAATTATGTGAGCAGATTCATCCTTATTGGGACTCTTCAGACATAGGAATTCGCCAAGGCCTGTGGATTCAAATCTCATTAAAGGGTTGAATAAAAAACATCTAATATGGAAGATGCCTACACCAGAAAATGTCCAATAAGGACAAAACATATAGTACTGTCTACTGGTCACTAGCTAATATAACTTCTAAAGGAGCGGACTTTGTCAGCTATTCTGCAAATAATGAACTTGTGTACATAAGCAAATAAAATCTGGGGTAACCTGCCAAGTGGTCAAGTGCTGTAAAACTATTGTTAAGTTCTTACCTCGTCTCCTGGTGAAAGGATTTAGTGCAGATAATTTCACTCCCTTTTTCCACAGGTAAAACAATAAAATCCCAATGAGTAAAACAATAACCACTAGGCTCAAAATGACTGCAGTAGTTGTGCCTGAGCCTGGAAAGTGAGCAAGAAGAAAAGTCAACAGTAAAAGAGCTCAGTATTATTCCCTTCCTGATCATAATCCCTAAAATTTGGACAGGATATATACCTGACTGTCCTTCACATACCGCTCCTGCATAGGAGCCACAGATGCACTTCTTGGAACTTGTGGTTGCAGCTTGGCACTCAGCAAGGGATGATTCTGTTCCTTTACATTTCACATTATCCAGAAATGCTGGGCCAATGCTCATGCCATATTCATTGCCCTTGGGGACAGACAATGCTGCACCACAGCCCACTTGTCGACATATCACTCTGGCTTCATTAAGACTCCAACCTGAATCCCCAATAGAGAGCCAGGAGCCATTATAGTTCAACTCTACTCGTCCAGCACAGGCATTGGGGCCATTTGCTAATCTTACAATCAGGGGACCTAGAAAACAAAAGAGAGTTAACTTGATCTTCCCAGCTGGTATAGTGTGTCGTAGTGCTCAATTTGAGATCATTTCAGGCATAGTTAATATTTTGGAAATATTTGTTTTCCTCTCTAGCATTCTAAGTATGAGTTTAACAGAATAACAAAGTTGGAAGAAACCTTGGAGCTCTTCTACTCCAACTCCCTGCTCAACTCCCTATACTATTTGATCCTTCTTCAGTTAACCTAACCTTAAGTTAACTTAACCCCTGAAGGGTGCATGACATGGATTTTGTAATATTTTTAACTAACATAGTTACTTCGTATTTTAATTTAAATTATTTTTCTCTGTTTTAAAATGATGATAAGGCTTTATCAAACCATTACAGACTGGAAACCTGTTACCCTCTTGCTGTATGGATTGATTGATAGCCTCTAACATTCCTAAACTGAAAAGATAAACTATAGAAGGGATGGTTGGAGACTATCTCCTGATAAGAAAAAGTTTGTTAGTGCTAATTGGTATCTGGTTTGTCTTTTCGTGAACTCCAGACAACCTTTTCTTTGCTAACATCTTAAATTTTATGCCCCTCCTGTCATAAGACCTCATTTAAATGGACATGCATGCAGCATGTTTGACTACATGTAGCTGATTTCCTGTACAAAGGGGAGGCTACTTTTATCCTGTCCAATCAACTTTTCTCTTGCATTTTCTTTGATGTGTTAGCTATAAAATGAAATGTATGCTAAGGATCTGGGTTCTCTCTTTGAATCAGAAGAATCCCTTTTATCTGAACATTCTGATAAATTGTAATTAAATGATCTTCCTGTCTCAGTGTATCTCATTGGAAATAGGCATGGGCCTAACAAGCCATATTTGGCCTTCACCCCTGTAGGGGGCATAGGGAATGGCCTTAAAGGGTAGAAGAAAAAGCTGCTACCAACATGACAGGAAAGTGGAACTTCAGCTTGAGCCAAGGAAATAACTTGAGATAATGTCTCAGAGAAGCCCCTCCCTGGTTCATCCAAAGATAAAGGGAGGGAGGGAAGGAGGAGAGAAGCAGATTGCAGATTCTGCTACTAAAGCTTTACTATAAATAGTTCTCGTCTATATGGCATTGTTTCTTAGTCTGGTCTATCCTGTAAAGCTGACAAACTTTATCTCTCTAAGGCTGTTGAATTTTATAATATTATTACATAGTGACTTATTATATAGCGAAAAAGACTACTTCCATGGTTGGCATAGTTTTGTAAGGAAAGGCTTTGATTATTTCATATAAATTCACCTAATTCATTATTCAATTACAAATTGGAAATTAATACTCAAAACGTTTAATCAAGCAACAAGCACATTCAGATATAGTTTCTTAAATATATTTAAAATCCAAGTTGGAAGATGTTAATAAAATAGTTTACTGGTTTGTTGCACTATGTTTAGAGCAACATTAAGTGATAGCAGACTAATTGGAGGTGGTGAGAGGGAAGACACATTTATAAAATGCTTATGAACAATAGTGCAAAACCTTTTTTGGGGGGGAAAAGGACTAGACTTGCAATGCTAAAGATCAAGAATTGGATGGGGATAGAACAAAACACATTAAATTCCATTTTAATTAACTTGAACTACATGATGACTAGGCTATTAATCATTTACACTATTAGTCTCCATTTATTTAATTAGGTCCTTCTATCCCACAAACAATTACAGTTCAATAGTAATTTTGTAGAGATGCAGCTAAGGCATCAAGATGTCATAGATTTGCTTTGAAGCCAAGAATGCTTCCCTTATGCCCTTGTGGGGAAATTTATGATTGCACAGCTTTTGTACATAATGGAAAACCTGTAGTTACATTTAAATTGGTTTAAATTTCTGGGCAGGCATTTTAGTGCAGAAGAATTATTGTGTTCTTTGAAGAAGAATGTGCAATAACAAACTGAACAGCTGTAGGAAACAAAGATGTATAAGTTGTTTTAGCTCTAGTTCATCCTCCTTCCATATTGCTTTCAATTCTCCATATTTTTGATCGTGCATTTCAGGGTAAATACATCTCAGGAATATATAAAGGATTTTGAGCTTAAAAGCAGACCCTTCCTTTATTCCAAATTGAAATTATACATACACGCACAATATTAAACTTCAAGCTATAAGCATTTGTATTTAATTTGCAATTTCCCCCATCTGAAAGTTACCTGAGCAAATTGCACCAGCATCTTCTGCATGATCACAGTCATGCTCTCCTACGGAACGTCCTCGGCATTCTTTGATTGACATTTCTGTCCCAGTGCAGTTCACATCATCCAGAAAAATAGGACCAGAACCTCTTCCAAAGTGTGCCCCAGACAGGGATTCCAAAGGAATGCCACACTTTAGTTGCCTACACACCACTGCTACATCTTGAAGGCCCCATCCATCATCACACACAGTTCCCCATTGCTGTTGGTGATAGACTTCAACCCGCCCTGCACAGGAATTTGGACCATCTTCTAATCTTATCTTCGCCACATTGAGGGTGAAAGTGTCTACAGAATAAACAGATTTAATACAAATTAAACAGTGTGTCTTAAGGCTTTCAACCCACTCAAGCCAACAAATAGAGCTTTCTGTCTTTCTCCTGAGAAAAATCTTCCTGATGACTTCCCTCCCAAGCAAATATAAATTCTCCCCAAAAATGTTGTGGTAGTTGAGGCTAAAGTAAGAAAATTAATAAAATATTATAAAAGAAAAAAGAAAACTTAGTATGTTGATGAAGATTCTCAGTCAATCAGGTAGAATTGTCTGGAAATTGACTCATGGCAACTGGAGTTCTGTTGGTTTGAAATGTTTAACTGCTTATCCAAGTAGCTTCTTCAGTCTGAGCAAATTGGTTAGGGGGACCTCATATATTTCTTCTAGGGAGAAGTTTCATTTCTTACCTAATCTGGATAGGCTTATTAGGTGAGTAGGTAGAGCGTCATTTGAATGTAAATGTTCCAACTCCTAAATCCTTTACCCTAGGTCAATGGTGGCGAACATATGGCACCCATGCCAGAGGCGGCACTCAGAGCCCTCTCTGTGGGCATGCATGCTATCACCCCAGCCCTGCCTTCCCTGTGGTCCCCTCCTCACCAGCAGGCCCCCCAGAGGAGAGTTGCCCCTGGGTGCGGCCCATGCAGAGCAACACAGCCAAGGACATGGCAGCTGGGCAGTGGGGACAAGACTCTGCCCTCATGCCCCATCACATGCTGTGGGGCATGGGCAGAGGGCGTGGGCCACCATGGCGCTGCAGAGCTGCCTGGGTGGGCGGCCCTGCAGATGGGCGGGGCGGGGGCAGAGTGGGGGTGGGTGGATGGGCAGAGCAGGGGTGGAGCAGGCAGAGCGGGGAGCAGAGCAGGGGCAGACCAGGGGCAGGGCAGTTTTGGGGCGCTCGGTCTCTAAAAGGTTCGCCATCACTGCCCTATATGATTCCTTAAGTGTAACTCCCTGGTGAACCTTTGAAGAGGTTTTAATCCTCCTGGGGACTGATGAAAGACCAGCATGAAAAAGGGAGACAGGTTGTACCTGAGGCCTCCACCTCTATTGAAGAAAGGATTTTCTCCTTTGGCATAAATGGTTTCCTTCACTGCTCTCTCAAAATATGAACATTAATGTCCTCAAAACACAATAGACAATGAGCTACAAAAATATCAGGCAAAGAAACCCTAGACTGAACCTCACCAAAAATATCACTAGAAGCCAAGATCACCAAACCATGGCTTCAAGTGATACTTTGGCCATGTCATGCGAGCTGATTCACTTGAAAAGTCAATCATGCTGGAAGTGATCAGCAGAAAAAGGAGAAGGAGAAATCCTAGTACTTGCTGGCTGGACACTATAAAGAATAACACTATAAAGGATGACCATGGTGGATCTAAAGGAGGTAGTGCAAAACAGAGGGGCATGGAGAGTGCTAATCCATAGGGTGACTGGGGTCAGGCTGATGACAATGCCAGAACTTCTTCTGAAGTATGCCCCAAATAGTATTTCTAAAAGAATGCCACAATTTAGATGTTTATACACAATAGTTACTGTATATCTGGAAGGTCCTATATGTCATGTCACACAGATCTCCACTGGTATTGGTTTACCCACTTTTAATATGTTTAATAAAGTCACATGCTATGAAGACTTAGTCACTAATGCAAAAATGATCACAAATCACAACTTTGCCACCATAAATTACCTGAACAAATAACACTTGCATCCTGATCATGAACACAGTTGTTTGTCCCCTGGGTATTTGCTCTGCATTCTTGAAGGGAATTTTCTGTGCCTTCACAATTGACATCATCCATCCAGATGCGGCCTGATCCACGCCCAAAATGAGCACCTTTTGGAGCCGATCCAGCACTTCCACAGCCTAGTTGCCTGCACACAATTTCTACCTCTTTTAAGTCCCAAGTCCGGTCACAGACTGTCCCCCATTCATCACTTCCTGGTGTTCGAATCTCTACTCTTCCATTGCAGCGATTTGTGCCATTGACTAGCCTGAGATTCTCTGAAAATAAAAGAGATAAATCAATTATCCTCCTAAAGAATGTGTTCTGAAAGATCAGGATGTGAATAAATCTTTTTCCAAGAGACAAGAAGCATATTTCAAACTGAGCTGGATCTACAATGGTCTTTAGAAAAACCAGCAAGAACAGAACAATTGAGAGAGATGATTTGCTTTGTAAGAATGTGTTTTACTTCAGATTATGGGAATACATTGGTATTACTTTTACTAAATTCCCTCTATTGTTGACTGATTGTAAATATGACAGATGATATCAATATGTTTCCAGTGTGAACTTGAATCTTCTTTAGTTTTCTTTTTTTGGAATTGATTACATTTGCAATGCAGCACACAACCACATACCACTCTTTTTAGAAATTAGAGTTATCCTGAGGTTAGATGGGTGGCCAATAAATTTTATAAATAAATAAAATAAATAATCTCCTTTCCATGTGGAAGAAATCATTATCGGTGGGCAAAATATAAGAGCCTGGACTGGATAACATCAAATGCCAATGTAGTCAATATCCTGTTTTCCACAATAGCCAAACAGATGCCTTTGTGAAATGCACAAGAAGAACATCAGTGCAATAGTCTATTACTCCTGCTGGGCCTTATTCAAAAGCCTTTGATGGAAAACACGAGAAAATTTACAAAGCAGTTCAAACCAACAACTTCTATGAAGACCAGGAACAGTTGAAGGTTGGAAACAAATCTGATTATCTATCTTTGTGTTGCTTTCTCCTAGTATAGGAATACATGCTCAAAGCTAGTTACCTGAACATACAACACCAGCATCTTCCCCATGATTACAATCATTAGTTCCCCAAGGCTTGGCCTTGCAAGCACCAAGGGAAAGTTCAGTTCCTGTGCATTCAACATCATCCAACCAGATAGCATCACTTCCTCGACCAAACCGAGCTGAACGAGGGGCAGAAATGGCTGATCCACAATCAAGGTATTGACACACAACAATAGCTTCATTCAAGTCCCAGTTGTCATCACAAACAGTCCCATACTGCTGGAGATGAAATACCTCTACCCTCCCGGTACATCGGTGTGAGCCATTGACTAGCCTGAGCTCCACTGGATCTGAAAAGGTAGAAGATATTATCAGAAGACCATTGACATTGAGGAAATTCCTCACAAAATTGATGTGAACATTTTATAATATTTGTCCCCAAATTCTAACAACCCTTGTCTGTACAAATTTTTTTTTTGAAGGGAAACTGTGTCAAGAAAGTCTGCTATAAACTGAGACAAGCACATCTTATTCTGACAAACATTCATTTCTCAAATGTTGCTTACCTGCAAGCACACCTGGTAGAAGGCCTCATTATGAAAAATCAGCAAGTGTGTTGGGAAGTGCTCATTCTTTTGTGAACCTGGTGACTATCTCTCCAAATGTATCTTGGATTGCTTTAGATTTTTTTTTATAATCTAGTTAGAAAATAATCTAATTATATTTTCTAATAGTCTTTGGAATGTACTGGATCAAGACATATGCTGGGCATAATTCTTGTTTGTTTTTAATGAAGAGAAGGACGAGGGATGACATGATAGCAGTGTTCCAATATCTCAGGGGCTGCCACAAAGAAGAGGGAGTCAAGCTATTCTCCAAAGCGCCTGAAGGCAGGACAAGAAGCAACAGATGGAAACTAACCAAAGAGAGAAGCAACCTAGAACTAAGGAGAAATTTCCTGACAGTTAGAACAATTAGTCCAGTGGAACAATCTGCCTCCAGAAATTGTGAATGCTCCAACACTGGAGGTTTTTAAGAAGATAATGGACAACATTTGTCTGAAATGGTAGAGTTTCTTGCTTGAGCAGAGGGTTGGACTAGAAGACCTCCAAGGTCCCCTCCAATTCTGTTATTCTGTTTTTCAGCATCAGATTTTCATTGCTTCTGACTGTTAAGCTTTGGGTTTGTGGTTACAACCTGCTGTTACTTTTCTTTTCTTTGCAATTTAGTTATTATTATCTATCATTAAATTAAATGTAATTTTGTCATTATTAACTGTTATGAATAATATTTTTCTGTTGCTGGCCATTGGGAGAACATTACAAAAGGCTATCTTCACCTTTCCTTTCCTTTCCTTTCCTTTCCCTTTCCCTTTCCTTTCCTCTGTTATACATAAATAAATAAATAAAATTTCTCAGCATGGTAGAAGGAAAAAGTGCAGAAAATCTGACAGATAATGGAGCAAAGGAAATCCCCCCCAATTTTTTAAAATAAGCTATTAAAGAGCAATGTTAGTTATTACAAGAACTTTGGAATAAGAGATTGGTATACTTCTTATTAAGCCTTAAAGTTAAAGTTGAAAAACTATTGCCACTTTTATCTTAAAGATAAAATTAATTCAACACAAGAATTAATCAATTGTTTTGCTTCTAATCCAAGAAGCATCTTCTAACATTTTCAAAGGAAAAAAACCAAGGAACTTCAGCTGCTTTTTGGACTTTGGGACAAGTTCTTTGTCCATTAAGTCTAAAAGAAAAGTTTCCGGTTTTATTTTTACATTCACTTTAGGTATCTTCTCTATTAAAATATGAATCTAATTACTATTGTTAAATTCCAATGGGACATTATTTTATAAAAATAAATAAATTATAATTTGATATAAATTTTAAACCCTTCATCCACATGTTTTTCCCCATTGTTCAGGCATTATATGATATCCAAAGCCTTTTGGTCATTGGATCATACAAGGCTTCACGTATTCATTCTCCAAATTCAATTTCACTAGCAGTTTATACACCTTGGCAATAATATGTTCATTATTACCACACAGTGCAATTTCTAATTCATTTTTTACAAGGTCAAATCCATGACTTTTAAAATCTAATTTAAATCTTTCTTTCAATTTTAAATATGTAAACCAGTGAAAGACATGTCCTTCTGATTCCAACTTTTTTTAGATTTGAGGGTAGGTTCACCTTGATTAAAAAATATGATTTGAATGTGGGTCCACCAGTCTGATCTTGCCATTATTTCTTTTCTAAAAAAAGGCTTCCTGAGGTAACACCCAAAGAGGTACTTTCACAGAGAATCTTGTTTTATATTTGTTCCAAACCCTTAGGATAGAATGTCTAACAAAGTGATTGTTGAAATCAACAATTATTTTAACTTTGTCATACCATAATAGGCATGCTATCCAAATCTCAGTTCATGGCCCTCTAATTCAAGTAGTCTCTTGTTTTGAAGAGTCTCACTGTTTTATCCAGACCAAACAGCAGAAATCAAAGTACAATTCAAATTTGGTAAACCCAAACCCCCTCTTTCTTTAGCAACTTGCAGTAATTAATATCTAATACTTTTTCCTTGCCATAGAAATATCCATTTGCCATTGCTTGAGTGTCAATTATTCGTATCAGTAAAGTCTCAAATAAAAATAACATCTTTGGTAGAATATCTTAATTACAGAGATTCTACCCAATAAGGGTAATTGCAAATTACACATCTTAAAAGATCTTTTTAGATATAATTTTGATATAATTTAATATCAAGTACAAGGTTGTTCTGAAAAAAAATAAAATTTGTATTTGTCCATGTAACCCCAAGATCTTTCACCCTTTTCTCTATCTTGAAACCTGACTTTTTTCTCAATATTTCATAATCCTGAAAAACCATATTCTTGACAAGCATTGTTGTTTTCTGTTTATTTATTTTGAAACCCATTAATGCTTTAAAGTCATTTAGTTTCTTCATCAAGTAATTCTAAACCTGCTTTTGGGTCTTGCAAAAATATGACTGTCATCAGCAAATGCTCTCAATTTATAAACTTCCTTTTTTAATATTTATGCCTATTATTTTCTCATTCTGAGTAATATCCCTATTCAGAACTTCCAGTAGTAGTATAAACAACAAAGGAGATAAGGGATAGTCTTGTCTCATACCCTTTTGAATTTCATACACTCCTTTAATAAGAATGAATAATAATCTTTGGTTACTGTGAAATATAAATCATTTTAACCACTTGAATAAATTTCTCCCAGTACTTTAAACCTGAAGACACAATTTAAATTGTCCAGGGCTTTCTCTGCATTTAAAAATATTACATCTGCTTGCTTCTCGTTATGGTATTTTTCAATGCCACATTCAATAATATTTAGGACAGTTCTAATATTGTCTCTTAGTTGTCTTTTTGACAAAAAGCCAAATTGGTCTTTGTAAATATAAAACTGTAAAACCTTCCTCAATCTTTCTGCCAGTATTGCAGTAAAAAGTTTATAATCATTATTGAGTAACGAAATTGATCTATAATTTGTTATCCTCAAGACATCTTGATCTTCCTTTGGTAATAGTGCAATGTTAACTTCTTTCCAAGTTTGAGGCACTATTGCTCTCTATAGTACAACATTTATTATAACTTTTAATGGCTGTAGGAGTTGGTCCTCAAAATATTTACAGTATTGATTTGTATTTGTGAGACTATCTGGGCCTGGGTCTTTGCCTGTTTTTATTTTTTTAATAAATTCTGATGTTTCAAAGATATTTACTGATTTGTTCATAAATTGTCGCTGAGCTTGTGAGAATTTAGGAAAATGTTGTCTTTATAAATAACCATTTAATTTTTGCATGTCCAGTTCCTGTTTTTTGTAAAGATTAAAGTAGAAATTATAAAGGGACTTTTCAAATGAGGTCATTGTCTGTTATTATCAGGGTGCATTCTTGAATTTTGTCTGTTTATTTTCTTCCCAACCAGTTAACTGAGCCAGGAATTTAATCATTCTCAATCTAATATCTTCTTCAGTCATTTCAGGAACTGCTAAAAAACTTAGTTCTCTGGTAGAACTCTAGTTGCAAAAAAAGCAAGCAGCCTCTGGAAAAGTTTCATCGTTTTGAATATTATCCCTCTTTCTTTGTCTTTATGATATCTTGTGTGTAGACTAAATTTGCTGGTGAAGAAGGACTCTCTATCTTCCTCTCTTCTAATAAATATCCCACTATGAAGAGCCAATGAAGCCTTTTTGTTCCCACTTAAATTCATGTTGCATTTTTCAGAAAAAAAATAGAAATGACAGAGAATGTCAATGTTTAAAAAAATCTTCTTTGATCTTTCCATTGCTTATGATAGCAACTGTTCTGCTTTCAAATAAACAAACCATGTGTTCCTTCTGTGCTAGGGAGTTGGAAGAAAGCAAAACCTGACTTTCCTGTCTGATCAACAGTCAGATTTTTTTCTCCTCCTTTTGTAACTGGCATCACATGAATGTCAGGAGCTGATATGGTCTGATGTAGGCAGTGGTGGGATTCAGCCGGTTCACACCACTTTGACAGAACCGCTAGCTAATTTTTTTTTGCCCAGGCCCAGAATAGACTTTCAGAAGCGGCATCCACACAGAGAACCAGCTGTTCACATATTTGAACCCCACCACTGGATGTAGGTAATAATGCTCATTATGGTAGGTCATAATGTAGCTTATTAACTTTCAGCTTAATGATGCAATTTGTGAAGTTAGCCACTATGCCTTGCAAATGATTATGAGTATATACTATGTGAACTATAAGAACTTTTGGTCATTTAACAAACCACATTTTTTTAAAAAAAACAATATTTGTCTTTGTATGATGTGAGAATCTAGTAACTGAAAGACTCCAGCCTGGTTTAACAAACATCAGGATGAAGCTCTCTTCACCTTCTTTGATAGCTAGTTGATGCCCAGCCATGAGTTCATTTAAAATGTGTGAAAATTGCTGGTCTATCTTGAAACTACTTTCTTGGAGGTTAGCAAAAATATTATTTCAAAACATTTTTATTTTATATTTCCTCCATATGAAATGTCTTTTCTTTATAGATTTATGAACATTAGAATTTATATCCCAATACTCAGGCATAATAAATAAACCCAAAGCAATTGGAATGAATAAAATAAAAATCCAAAATCAGCTAAAACTAACCTGAACACTCCACCCCAGCATCTTCTTGGTGGTGGCAGTTGTTTGTTCCCCAAGTGCTTGCTGGGCATTCACTGAGGGAATTTTCTGTTCCTTGGCAGTTCACATCATCTAGCCATATTGGCCCTTTTCCCTGTCCAAAATATGCCTTTCTTCGGGCTTTCAAAGCAACACCACAGCCCATTTCCCTGCAGATCACCTCAGCATGCTTGATGTCCCAGCGGTCATCACACACAGTCCCCCACTGCTGGTCATGAAAGATCTCCACTCTTCCCGAACAGTGGCTTGAACCATTCACCAGTCGGAGTTCTGATAGGAAATAAAAGAGTGAAGAACCGCAGCATCATAAAATACATTGCTCATAAGGTTTTTGAATATCTAACTGCTGGGCCATTTCACCTAAAGGGGAGGAATATAAGAAATAACAGCTTCTTGCTAGGAAGCATGGTTTTACTCCTCGTCCTCATTTTCCTTGTCTTCCTCATCTTTCTTGTCCTCCTTGTCCTCCTCGTCCTCTTCCTCCTACTCATACTCCTCCTACTCCTCCTACTCATCATCATCATGTCTAATTTTTGTTTTTCTCCACAAGGAAAAGTTTCTTGACCTTTTTTGCTTCCAGAAAACTTGGTTCTTGACATTTATAGAAGAGCCATTTTTAGCAGATTACTTACTTGAGATGAACAAACTCAGCATTACTGAGGAAACAACATTTTAATTTCAGTATATGAGAAATAGAAACACAAGGAGATAAGAAAGAACAAATACTAATTGAATAAACTGAATAAACATTTAAATCTTCTTCCAACCCAACAGCTACACCTGACCTTTGGATGGTGTGCCAAGAGCCATATATAAGGAAATTGCATGTAGGCAGCCAAAATATAAATGAGAAGTAAATGCAGAGCAAAGAAAAACAATGCTAACATTATTTGGGTCAATCTCCAACCCCATTATATATTTCCCCTCCCTAAGTGCACACCTGAACACATAGCACCAGCATCCTCTCCATGGTTGCAGTTGTGTTCTCCCCAGGATTTTAGACGACAGTCACGGAGAGAAGCTTCTGTTCCTTTACATTTGACATCATCCAGCCAAATGGGATCATTTCCTTTTCCATATTTTGCTCCTCGTGGGGCTGCTAAAGCTATTCCACAGCCCAGTTCTCTGCACACAACTTGGGCATTGGTGAGCTCCCAGCCATCGTCACAGACTGTTCCCCACTGTTGGTTGTGCAGCACTTCAACTCTCCCAGAGCAACGACTTGTGCCATTCACCAATCTGACTTCATTGGGGTCTGAAATGATTAGAGTCAGCATTACTTTCCCACTTCTCACAACAGCCTGCATGAAAATTAGGTAGAATCAACATAGGAGTCTGGACCTAGATCTGACTTCATTTGTCACACTAAGTCATAAAGTGCCTTGCTTGATTGTGATTTGTGAACACTAAGTCATAAAGTGCCTTGCTTCATTTGTCACACTAAGTCATAAAGTGCCTTGCTTGATTGTGATTAAACCATGATGTATTCTAACATAGTAAGTCATGATCTGACATTGTTGGCTTCAACTGTTTCTTAGCATGCTGTATCACCAGAAATGTGCAGTTTGTCTATCATTTCCTGATTTATTCCTGATCAGTTTTATGCCCCACTCAATATTTTATTGAAGCCTAAAGGACAAGGACACAAGACAAAAAAAAAACTGCTAAAAAGGAAGGAACTAGAAACTGGCTAAACAAAATATTACTTTCTTGATCTGCCAGATTGTTTTCTTTTGTCTGGGTGTGCTCTTAAAACAAGCCATGGCTTAAAGGGATGCTTGAAAGCATGTGTTTTAAAACAATTTCTAAGCTCATCATTAGTGGCATCCATGGAGAGGGAAGAGGGCATCAATGGCATCCCAAACCGAGCCTGCTCCTTTGGTATAGTATATGTGTTGACATGCACAGAGGGTGGAGTTTGGAGAGTAATGCTGCAACTGCCATTTTGGTTGTTGTGATAATCTCTCCCCCCATTATAAGATTTCTTCCTTTTATTTCACCGAGACTAAACAGCTCAGGTAATCTTTGATTGATTATGTGCTATGTAGTCATTGTTGACTTTTAATGGCAGGTGGTTGTTAGATACTTGCTTGTTCACATACCAATTGTTGACTTTTAATGGCAGGTGGTTGTTAGATATTTGCTTGTTCACATACCAATTTGGATCTCTCTCTCTCTCTCTCTCTCTCTCTCTCTCTCTCTCTCTCTCTCTCTCTCTCTCTCTCTCTCTCTCTCTCTCTCTTTCCAGAGGAGTCTGGTGAGAGACCATTTAGCTATTACTACTTTTAGGACTACTGACACAACTTTAAATTCTGCTATGATCTGCCTGCATGTCTGCCAAATATTTCTAACTTATTTCGAGGAATCATTCATTACCCTGAGCTGGGCCAAGCCATGTCAGTTTTATCCAGAAACTATGCCATGGTTGAACATCTGGCAACCAAACCATGAGTCTGATTTTGATCTGGGTTACTGATTACAACTTAATTGACCAAATTACCTGAGCATTCCACACTTGTATCCCTGCTGTGGTCACAGCTATGCTCTCCCCAAGGTCTTTTCGGGCATTCATTCAAAAAAGCTTCTTTCCCTGTGCAGTTCACTCTGTCTAGCCAAATGGTTCCAGATCCTTGTCCAAACTGTGCTCCCCCAGTGGCCTTTAGGGCAGTTCCACACTCCAGTTCTCTGCACACCACATTGGCATCATTTAAATCCCAGTCCTCATCACACACAGTCCCCCATTGCTTGTTGTGGTATACCTCAAGCCTTCCTGCGCAACGAGTGGATCCTTGTGCTAGTCGAAGTTCTGATGGGACAAAAGAAGTAAGCAAAGCAGTATATCCTCTGATTACAATTTCCACAACTCTGAGGGGAAACATATTTACCAGGGGAAAACAAAAATATTATGTAAACTTTGTACACCTTTTAAAAATATAATCAGAAATCCCAAATCTTGGGATAGCAGAAAGGACCCTGTGAGCAAAATCACATCTGATTCTTATTTCACACTTTATCATTCTACCCTGACAGGAAAACAAATGTTATGTTGCCATGATCCATCTCCCATTCTCTTGACAAAAATACTTATCAAGAGAGGGGAAAGACTGCCTTATTTCACTGGCTTTTTCTCACAAGCATTCCTGAATGTTCTCTGAAATAAGAGGTGACAACTTCTTTATCTGCAAGTTATGTTTCAGAAACGTTTGCATCTGGTATATCACAACAAGCCTCTGATAGATCAGTGTATTTTATTGTGCTATAATAATTTTCAGTACTATATTAATTATTTATTTTGACACGTTCTTCCAGGCTTTTTTCCCTCTTAATAAGGAAACAACTTGAAGGGCCTCTCAAAACCACACACCAGTTTTAGGCAACTTCTGCTTTCCTATTATTATTATTATTATTTTTACTTATTTCTTTAGCATCTTTTTCTTACATTGAAACCACTTTGGGCTTACCTTTAAAGGAAAGCTGTTAAAATAGATGCAAATATAAACAAATAAATGCATAAATAGAAACAAAAAGCGAGTTAACAAATAGATGTGTAACTATTAGGCAGTTTATTCATCCACTAAACCATGAATTTATGAGATGTTTTCAGAAAAAGTGATATAAAAAAATCCCATACTCAGCTTCAGTCCTGGGTTTTCATAAGTGCTTCTTACCTGTACACACCACTCCAGAATCTTCCGAATGAGTGCAGTCATGTTCCCCCCATGCTTTTGCTGGACATTTGCTGATGGCTGTCTCTGACCCTGTGCAGTTCACACCATCCAGCCAGATAGGACCAGCTCCAGGGCCAAAACGAGAACCTCGTGGGGCCGACAGAGCATTCCCACAGCCTAAATACTGGCATACAACCTTGGCATCATCAAGGTCCCAGTTGTCATCACAAATAGTTCCCCAGAGTTTTTCATGCAAGATCTCAACTCTCCCTGAACAATGATTGGGGCCATTTGATAATCTGATCTCAGGTGGTTCTGAAGAAGGAAACATTGATAAAGAATGAGCATTGCTGGAGATAATTTACTGCACAATTGCTTTTCTGCAATATACCAAGATCTCTTTTAACACTGTAGCCCTCATTGTGTTTGTACATGCAAATGAGTATGACATTCTAATGTGACATTCTAAGATGACTCCATTCTTATGGTTAATAGTCACTCCTATGCCTTTTTTATATTTTAATAATAATTGTTTTCTAGTTTTATTAACTGTTTTATATTATTGATTTATTACTTGTACACTACCCAGAATGAGTTTTTCTGAGATGGGTGACCATGTACATTTGATAAATAAAATAGATATTATGAGCACCAGCCTATGTTTCATTCAAAAAGAGGAACTTTTCCTACTAATGGCCTAAACTGGTGACATGATGCCTCTCTCATCAATTATTCTGAGTAGTTTTGTAACCATTTTAAAGTTTCATAATGAAGATAATATGATATTTTAAAATGCATCATGCATCATGCTTTTCTTTGCCATTCCAAGTGATCATTTATACATCATTCCCATTATAATTCCATACTTCTATAGTTATTATGACCTTAAAGTACAAATGATCCATATTTTCATTTCCAGGTACAAATGCTCAGATATATGAATGCAGACATACATGTGCAAAAATAAAAGGACTGATTATCTGAGTGGTATTTTTGGGGGGGGGAAATGAGTCAGAAAAGGGAAATTAATTTTTATTTGTCATAAAAAATAAACTTTGGTCATCCCCTTCTCTGCAGATTAAATATTCTCTTCCTCTAGAGTGTCTAGGAATATCACAGAACCTTGCTTTCAGAAGTTATAGTAGGAAATATAATGGATTTTCATAAGAAGATTGAGGGAAACAATACTGAAAGAGATAACATGTAAACAGCTCATTTGCCTCATCTTTAATTTCTAGAGGACAGCAGCTCCCATGGAAACTTTTTGATGTCATCCTTATAATTGGTGGATGACACTTTCAGAAAAAAGAAAGAGGGAAATTTGGTGGATCATTTATCTCTTTCAAGGAGACTTGGACTAATTTCCTATTATTTCCCTTCCCCATGGCAATAATTGCTATTTCCTTTTTTTGGCTTTTTATTTTTTGTGTAAGATCCTTTCCCTTTATACCTGCCTTACATCTTTGAAAGAAAGGGATAGTGACACTTGGTAAGACAATTAATGAATGAGGAACACTCTTCAAAGAATGACTTTCATTAACAATCTGCCAAACTAATCCAATTTGGTGCTGGAATTTATTTCACAGATCCAGAATTTTAAAAAAATGATGGACAGAATAACCCACAAATAAGAAGAACAGAATATACAATATTTCCTCCAACATTTTGTGATTATTACCTGCACATTCCACGCCAGCATCCTTACTGTGGCTACAACTGTGTTCTCTCATGATTTTTGGTGGACATTTTCTTAGACTGTCTTCTTCCCCTGTGCAGTTTACCTGATCCATCCAGATTGGACCAGTTCCTTGTCCAAATTTAGCTGCACCTGCTGTTGCTAATGCACTGCCACAGCCTACTTCCCGGCACACCACGTTGGCATCAGCTAAATCCCAGCCATTGTCACATATTGTTCCCCATCTTTGGTTAAACAACACCTCAACCCTTCCAGTACAAAGAGTAGAACCACCTGCCAGTCTCATCTCTGCATATAAAGAAAAAGAGAGAATAAAAAACTAATTTAATGCAGAGGATTCTAACATGGCAGCCATTCAGAGCAGCCATTCCTGGATTAAAAAGCAAGCAAAGAACATGTTTATAACTTGCAAACAAAAGCAGTCACAGCTTTAATGATACCAGAATTCTCACCTATTGTGTGGGATCACCATCAACATACCCTAACAAAATGCATCATCTTTGTTTATTTCAACAGCATAGAATAGAAATCTATGTTTGTTTTATTTTTAATACCTGTAAGTTAACCTACTTTCTGGGAATTAGCTGAATTTTTTTAGAAACATATATGGACCAAATTACATGGCAAAGTAATAAATAAGTTGGTGGAAAGAAATGGTTTTGTTCACTTCAACTGAGCAGATACTGGGAGATTTTAAATTAGTTAAGAAAATTTCCCCTTTCCCATCCTTTATCTGCTATTTTTCCAGAATCTGATCCCATCTGAGGCTAGGTATTTTGGATTTCATTGAGTATCATTCCATTTCCTTTCTCTCATGGAAGAAAATCCTATGTGAAAAATAAATTATACTTCTTGAAGATGGTGGTACTGTTTTGTACTTTCTGACAGGGATCTGGCAAAGAAGATTGGAGTCCCTGCTACACAAAGAGCAACCATATTCTTCTTCTTTTATCAACCCTCCCCTTCTTAAATATAATGGTACTCAAACTTGATCAGTCTAAGAAGCTAAGTGGAATTAGACCAATTAGTACAGGGATAGGGGACTATATGCACAATCCAGAACTGTTAGATGGATTGAGATATCAAAAAACCCACCCCAGAAAAAACAATGATCAACTATCTCTATAATTATGCCAGGCAAACTATGAAAAACAGAAATCAAGCTTAACTAGAAGATATATTTACAATTTTGAATTCTCATATTGGTTCATTAAGTTTTTGGTGTTGCAGAAAGAGTTTAATGAGTTTAATTCCAAGGGATAATTAAACTGTCCTCTTGTAATGTCCTGGAGCTATTCTATGCATATGCCTTTCCTTTGTTGTGGTAAACGCTACTTATCATCACGTGAGAGAATGTTTTCACTGAAGTATGTACAATACAAATGTTCTGTAGTACATTATTGCTTGTGTTTATTATTCCAAAGATTCTATCCATTTACCTATTTTGTAGTGCATATGTGCATTTAACAGTTGATTAATGCTCAAGTATTACTGGGCTACAATAATTCCACCCATGTTGTGAAAAGCTTCACTTGTTGAAACCTTCGTATCAATCAGCTTTTGTAATACATACATAGGCCATGCCAATTATGACACAACTCTCAGTTGACAAACTCACCTGAGCACACAACACCAGCATCTTCTCCATGATGGCAATCATTGTCTCCCCAAGGTCTTGATGGGCATTGATTGAGGAAGCTCTCTGTCCCTACACATCGAACTTCATCCATCCAGATGCGACCAGTTCCTCGGCCAAAATGGGACTCCCTTAGTGCTGATATTGCACTTGCACAGCCCAGCTGCCGGCAGACAACACGGGCATCTTCTATGCCCCAACTATCATCACAAACAGTGCCCCACAACCCATTATGGAATACTTCCAGTCTCCCTACACAGCGACTTGTACCATTCACCAGACGAATCTCTATTGGCTGTGTAGCAGTTGGTTGGACAGTCCAAGCTAAACCTATGAAAGCAAAGTTCACAGAGTGGATTAATAAGAGGAGGGGACAGGATAGGATGGATAAAAGAAAAGCTTCCTTTATATAACTGCTTTGAGAACATAGCAACAGGGGAGAAAGAAGAAGAAGATATGGGGAAAGGTTTGAGAAGCACTTGCTGAATTAGAATAATATTGTTATTTTTACTTCCATTCAATCATGTCCAATTTTCAAAGACTACCTGGACAGGTTTCTGCAGTTCTCTGGACAAGATTTCACAAGTGGTTTGCCATTGTCTTCTCCATAGGGACAAGAGAAAGTGACTGACCCAGGGCCATCCAGCTGACTTTGTGCCTAAGGTGAAACCTAAACTAATGGTCTTTTCCAAAGCTTCTTTCTTTTCTTGAATGCAAATTTTACAACTTATGCTCTCAATCTTATTTCAAAATAAAATAGGTTGTTCAGGAATTTAAAGTAGACTGAGAAATCTATAATAATGGGATGGTTGATTAATTGAACAGATTCTGTTATTTCTGGGATCTTTCTTTTTAAAAAATATTCTGTAGTTTACAACTGTTTAGTACTGCTCTAAACAAGTTAAATAAATTATTAGGAACTTACCTATAATAGTTAAGAAATCTTTTAACACTAGCAAGATAGTACGATAGAAATCATGTTTCCAAATTGATTAGAACTTATGAACTAAAACAAAGAACTATTGGTAGTCACCATTACTACTTTGCTTTGTTTAGCTTTATAAATATATTGAGTTTAATCTCAGAAGCATAAAGGATGCTTTATATATTTATCCCAAGACATTTTATCACAAATCTTCATTTTGGAAAAAAAGAAACTTAATAGCACAAATGATGAAAAAATTGCTGAACTTGCATCCATCAAAAGGTTTCAGGTTATTTGAAAAGGTCTCAATAAAATGGATTTTATAGCACATTATAATGGTTAATTGATGTTATGTACAGTAATCTACAACTGTATAACCAATCTGCCTTCCCTTCCCTGCAACCTCATTCCAATTTAAATCCTATGTTAGTTTAGACCAGTGTTTCTCAACCTCAGCAACTTTAAGACATATAGACTTCAACTCCCAGAATTCTCCAGGCAGAATGGGAATGGGAAATTCTGGGAATTCATGGCTGCCTGGAAAATTCTGACAGCTGAGGTCCACACTCTTAAAGTTGCTGAGGTTGAAAAATACTGGTTTAACCCCTCCATGTATCTCATAGATGAGCTTAGTTCACAAAAAATATGGCTTTTAATAAGTTTGAAAGGGTGCTACCATACTCCTGAAAAACAAATAGTTTGGGGCAATTTTCTATTGTCAGAGTTGAAGATAAACTCAGTGGATGAAGTCTTTTCAGACTTGATAATCTAAGGTCTCTAATAGCTTTAAGGTGGTTAATAGGTGATTTCCTAAAGTGATAAGATGTTGAGCAGGGGTCTTCAAACTTGGCCTAAAAGGGCCAAGTGTGAAGACTCCTGAGGTAGAGGTTTGCAAATTTCATGGCTTTTAAGAGGCTTTTCTCTTCTTGTGATCAAGAAGACTGATCTGATCGTTTCCTGGTGCTCAAACCCATGGAAAACCTGTCCTGAAGTCACCTCCTGAGCAGCAGATGTTTTGAGCACATGTGGGTGATCTTCTTCCCTATACAGAGAAGTGGCAAGGATTTGCTCTATTCACTGGTTTCTCAGCCTTTACTGCAGTCATCAGCTTCACTTTGACAGAGCAGTACAGTATGTTGTTCGCCCTCTCTCCTCCTGAAGTCCTAAAATCTTCCTTTTTGGTAAGATTTGGATCAAAAATTGATTGTTTTTGTTTATTTGTGTATTTTTGAAATATTCTTTCATGACACTTAAAGGAAAAAAAGATTAGACAGCAAAATGTCCTTTTCCCAGTCAGAGCCATGCAAGGGACAGATTCAAGGCCACCTGAATCTTGCTTATTCCTTCTTGCTTATTCCTGAACAAACCCTTGGCCCAAAATTTTTAATGATTTCCAGTCTCAAACTTTTCCAGTCCCAGAAAAATCTGGCTTGACAGGATGGTGATACTGTCATAGATAAAAACCATCTTCTTTCATCGGACCTGGAATGCCATCACAAGGATCATAAGACATTTTTCCCCTTTATCTTACATTAATTTGAGTTGGAGACTTCTTGATACCCACTGATAATATAATTAAGAGACAGAGGCAATGCTGTCTCTTATCACCTGATTGAGGGAATCCTATTAACCTTAAGAATATAGCAAGTAATTGAAAAGAAATAATCATGACAAAACTATTCTTAACACAAAATTTGAGCTACATTTCTTATACCTCTTCTCTTGAATATGACCCCCTAAATGTGCCTACTACAGATGGTGGGATGTCAACAGCCAGGATTCAGATGATGATTCTGAATTTGAAGAAAAGGCCCCAGCAGAACCTATAGATGTTAGTCTCAGAAGACACAAAGTCAAGAGTCACCTGAGGCTGATCAAACACAGGTACCACCTCAAGAGCTGGAGTAGTTAGATGATGATGACATGAGGCCTCCGAGCACCTGCCTTTGGTGAGTAGAATAAAGAGCATAACAAAGACATTCTGTGAGGCTCCTTGCCAAGCAAGGGAATACATCCCTTGAATAAAGGCAACTGGCTGCAGCCTGATTTAAGAGGCAGCCTTGACTCATGATCCCTTGTTGGAATCAACCAGTGTGATCTTCAGTTCCTGTGTGAGATTTGTTTGCATATTGCTCACCTCTGGACAGATTGATAACCCTGACATGGCTCTTGGAACTCTGACTGGATTTTGATTATTGTTCTATGAATTCTTGTTAAAAGCAAAACCACTTAGGAAGCTTCTTTCAGAGGCTCTGCTTTGGTTCACATTTTTGTCTGCTGTTATTTCCTTGATCTTGAGTAAACTGCTAATGTTCCCTTTCTTCCCCTTTTATATACCTACAAATTAGGGAGGTGTCTGTGATATTTTTATAATCCTCCCTCATTATTTGGATTTAAACATTATTTCTCTTTTTGTTGCTTTGGTAATGGATTTTCCCTCTCTTCTTCCAGATCATCCTCTTAGTCTCTGCACTATAATACAAGTCCCTATGTGCTCCAATGAATTGAACCATTTGCTGCCACTTAATCTGCCTCTTTCTCCTTTCCTCCTACAATTCATTCCTTGGAGACTGGAGAAAGAAAGAAAAAAAAATAGATGCATTAAAACCTGGGAAGAAAGGAGAGAATTCAGTTATCTGAAAAGATTCTGTAGTATGCATTCATTTGAATGCATCTTTCAGAATTACTGCAATCTGCAATTCTTTTTAGGTGGAAAGAATACACTATATACAGGACTCTTGTTTCTAGTGATATAGCAAAGTGTGGCTTTTACTACTTTGTAGATCCTCACGTGACTCAATGTGAGCAGAGTAAATGTAATGTGACCTTGGATTTCCACCTCCCCTTCAAGCCCTCTACAGGTTATTGCCATTCTAATTTCAAGAAATATAATAAAGGGTTGATTACATAAGGATCACTGTTTGTACTGAGGTTAACCATGGATTTACTGTATCCACAAGTTTCCTAATCCTCAGATAATTTTAGTAGAAATGTGTGTGTAACAAAGTCTATATGTTTAAATGGTCAGTGAGATGGACAAATAACATTCTGCCCCCTTTTCCATTCTACCAAAAGTCTGATAACAGGTATAGATTTGTTAAAGAATTTGCCATTAGAACACTTAGAAACTCTAGATATGACTGCTGTGCAAAAGACAGAAAACAGACATATTTAGAAAAATTAACTTCTGGGGTTTTTCCTCCATATGCTCAAAACGTGAGTGCTGTACATTTCCACCCCAGGCCACCCCAACGATGCCCTTGACGTGATGGCCCGCTGCCTGGAGGCCGTAAGGGTCTGGATGGGGAGGAACAGACTCAGGCTCAACCCTTCCAAGACCGAGTGGCTGTGGCTGCCGGCGCCCCGGCATAGTCAGCTGACCCCATCGCTGACTATAGGGGGCGAAATTCTGGCCCCCTCG